ACAGTAGATTGGGTCCCTAAGTTGTGAAAATGCTGAATATACTCGAGAAATGCCAAGGAGTCCAATCAGGGCCGGTACACATGCAGACTTCAGAGAGGTGATGGAAGAACACATCAAACAGTCTCTGTAGACCACTACGAAGACCCTTTGGCTTTCCCACTGCAGAGTTTGGGAAGAGAAAGGACATGATCCAGCTCATGTTTTGCAAGGATTCTTCTGACTTCCCTGCTCACTTGTGGGGTGGGGATGGTAGCTCAGATAGCAGGCACTTGCAGAGGGCCTGAACAAAAGATGACATTAGTTTGGACAATGGCATTCGGAGGAGAGAAGGCGAGAGAGGTGATCATCTTCTGGATATGTTCTGAAGGTCAAAGAATTTGCTGACAGATTGGATGGGGTGTAAGAAATAGATGGGTAAAAGATGATTCCAGTTTTTGGCATAGCAACTGGAAGGATGGCATTCTATTCATTGAGACGGGAGAAAATGAAGTTTGGGTTGGGAGAGGTTCAGTAGATCACATTTGTTACATTTTTATTTTGGAGTTCCGCTATGTGGTGTTATGCTATGTCATGTGGCAGAGGTTTATCAGATGTCTGAGTGGAGGGGTCCAGCAGGCAGTAGATGATACGGGTGTAGAGTTGAGCAGAGAAGTCTGAATGGGACTCTAAGACATGAAACATAAAACTCAAAAACTCTAAACCATCACATATGTTGGTGATCATGTGATACAGACATAAAAAATGGATGTACATATGTCAGAAAATGTATGTCAAGTCATTTTCTATAGTTTATATCTTAGAGGACAGTAACAGAGCATTCCAGGAGCTTTTAGAACACTACACTTCGAAATACAATAGAAAGATTTCTGAAAACATTATTTACCCTTTAGCAACAAAAGAAATTATGTTTTATTGAGAGAAAAACTCTACTGATACAGTAATGCGTGGATGGAAATTTAGGCAGACTTGATACAATGCCCTATATTTGCAACATTTATGGGGTTGTCATGTTTTATGCAAGTCCTTGGAGTGATGGAAATGTGCCAGCCTTCTTCAAAAATTGTTGTATTTAAATGCCACAACTGTGGTAAATTAGGTCCCTGCTTGAATAAAAGTAAGAGTTCTAATTGGTACCTATATTACCTGGTTTAGCCTCTTTATATATCTGTTGTAAGGTAAATTATAGCACTTCTATAAAAACAGCCTCTGGCTTGCAATTTTATAAGCAGTGAAGGCAAGTGTATATTTTAAATTTTTCCTATTTTGTAGCCGAAAAACACTTCTTACGTGCCTTATAGAATCTTAGCTATAATTACAAGAAATCCAATTAAGATACTAAAATGGTAAAATTTACAGATGAGCTTAACAGTACTTAGCTCTAATAGAGAATTGATTATAAACCTCTGTGTTAAACATTAGGGATTTATCTTTTCAAATGCTACAAAATATTTTTAAAACAAGAACATTCACAACTGAGCCCTACACTTTACTAAGAAGGGAGCTGTCCAGCAAATGTAATTACAGAACTGTCCAGCAGTTGAAACATTGGTAAAAAAAGCATTATGTATGGGAAATATGGGTTCTATTTTGTTTAAAAGATGTAATAGCTCTCAGTAGAAGAATTCATCATTAGATTAAGATATTTTTATGGCCAGTAGATCCTGGCTACAAAATATCCCTATTTTGAAAATTCTTTGTGTATTATTATAAATATGCTGTATATACATTCATATTATCCAAGGTTTCAGAAACATCACAATAGTATATAATAATAAAATCACTTGCTAGTTAATTTCAATGTGAGTGAGCAAGTATAATAGGGTAAGAACCACTGCCTAAGGAAATAAGCTTTAGAACAAGAAGTGGTTGCAAGAAATAGCAATTTTTTTTTATTCTTGGTACTTCTGCAATTTATATTTTCATGGAAAGTTGAAGTGGAAATGCTAAAATCTGATGGAATCACTCTGCCCCTGGTATTTCTTGGTGGAATAGAAACCCACAACTTACAAGGCAAATCTAGCTTTTGAATGAGCTTGTATTTCACATTTATTGTCTGATAAAATTGTTGAGTTTTCACATTTTTAATTGTAGCATAAACCAATTGAACCTTAAATACTTTAGATATTTAAACTGATCACAAATATTGTGATGAATGAATATATGATTAACAGTTGTAAGAAGTACAGTAACAATTCAACTGTAATTTTTTTCTCCCTTCTTTTCCAGTTTCTTAAATAAATGGCAAATAAAGGGATGGCGAGGGATCTTTCAGTCTGTATCTGGTAGTCCCTGTAGTGTGCTTATACTGTGGTAAGTATAGGTGTTAAGGAAAGAGTGCTTAAAACAAAATTGGTATGGTACCTGCGCTTGTGGTGCTCAGCGTTTTATGGGGACACTGATTTCTCCACATTCATGGATGAATTTTGCTACTGAGAAAAATGTTAAGTGGGAAGAAAGCAGGATCTGGAGGAGAGAGCATTGGGACAAAGGCTAATGTGTGAGGTGTGTGTGTGAATTACGGGCGTGTAGGTGGGTGAATTACAGGCACGTAGGTGGCTCTTATAGATGAACAGCAGTTATTAAGGGTGAGAATAGGAGACTGTTCTGTGGAAAGCATGTGCAAAGCTCTAGGACCTTCCCCGTATTGAAAGCAAGTAGTGGGAAGCAGGGAGATGTCTGGTAGAGGTCCTGCAGATCCATGTAGACATATAGGGGTCCAGATTATGCGTGAACTTGTTCTCTTCCAAGAACTAGATGCTTATTCTTCCTACAATAATCTTACAATCATTAGGCTTGGTAATCAATTGGAAGATATTTTAATTTCTATTTTCATTGTTGTCATTTAGTGCATTTTGTTTTGTTCATTTAGATCTGTTACCACATGAAAGTCTGCATGTGGAATTTAACACCTGTGGTGATAGTGTAAATTATGAAACACGGCACCATGTGTTAAGTATAACACATAATGGCACGGAAATGAACGGTTTCCATCATTCATAGCAAGGAGATGTCAGTGTTGAAGGAGAGTGAAGACTCTGTACAGGAATCATCAGCTGTGTCTTAGCAGACAGTCCCAAAGGAGATGCCCTTGCAGTGGTTCAGAGTGTGGTTCTGAGTTCAGGCTGGATTCCAGCCATTAGCCTTGTGACTTGACCATCATAGAATGTACTTCATTGAGTTTTTCCAATTAGCAAGATAATACATGTAAAGCATTTAACACCGGGGCAGCCTATATAAGTTTGCTACATATTAGCTAGTTTTATTGTTATTTAATTCTTACTTATTTTTATTGTTGTTTTATTATTTGATTAAGCATGGATAGTAACAACAATTAATGCTTTGGAGCTAAGAATTATTCTTAATAATAAGAATACATATATCAATAGGTTATATACAGGGTTTGTGTAGAGCAATATGTTTGGTAAAATAGAAGGGATAGGACAGATACTGGTATTTTATTGATTGTATTACAGCTTTACATTTGCAGACGACAATTTTGGGTTTAGTCACCTTAGAAACATTTTAAGTTCTCTCTGTCATCCAACCTTCCACACCCTCACCCCATTCCTACCAACTGGATATTTACCTGTAAAATTGTGGGAGTTTCTTTGTGTGCATGTATATTGACATCATTTATAAGGCGACATTATATAAAACCAACTTTGCCATCTATTTTTGTTATTAACTAAGTAGAATCCAGTGTTGTAGAAAGTGTTTGAGCAGGTGTCTAGGGATGCACTGAATAAGAAACATCAAATTAAAACTGGAGGGAAACGAGTGAAAAATAAGCACAAGCAGTCACCATATAAAGTTACTTTAAAAAGTGGTACATGGCTGGGTTGAAGCCACATTGTCTGTAATTTCATTCTATCACAGTTATTTTGAGGGAGTAAGTCCAACCTCCAAACATATGCCACAAGGATTCCCAGATTAGCTATAGGCCCCTAAGGAACTCACAGTTTTTGTGCTTCCTATCTGAAAAGTTCTCTTTCCCATTTCATGGCCATCCTGATTGTGGTGTAATCGTATTATATCGTGTTGTGTATTCTTCCTTTTCTTATGTGCTGATGCACGATCACCAAACACATTATAGAGCAGACAGGCATAATTTCCCTTATAGTGAAGATTTTTTTTCTTTAATAGTGTAGGTAGTCCCTGATCAAATATGCACATTTGCAGCACAGCTCAAATTTATTAAATATGGCACTAACTAGGTTAACCTGTACTTAATATATATTAGCTCTTCTGTGTAGTGACCCCAAAGATCATAGACACCTTTGTGGGTCAAGAGCTTTTTGCATTATTCTGGGTCCCAATGACAAGATTTGCAGGGCCTCGTTAGAACACAGGTATAAACTCATCAGCAAAGGGTAGTCAGATCATATTGTCCTCTTGCTCACAACTCTATCTGGCTCTCAGGCAGGAGAGAGATCATCTTTACCACGGCCTGCTAACACAGCTTCGTTGACTGCTATGCTCCAGCCTCATTGCCATTTTTGTTTTTTGTACAAACAAGACTTGTTCCTGCCTCACTGCCTTTGTATCATCACACATTTCCCCTGCAAACGTCTTTGCCGGAGCTTTGTACCTTGATATGGCTGGCTCATCCTCATCATCCCAGACTCTATTCAAAGGTTTTCTCCACAGGGAGGACCATTCCTCTGTCTCTTCTCTTGTACTGGATTCAAATTAATCATGTGAGAGTAGGGGAAATTGGAACTATGAAAACCAATGTTTTTATGATTTAGCATGGACTGTATAATTTAGGAATCGAATCCTGATGTCAGTAGCGTGATAATGGTTTTTTTTTTTAATTCTTATTTTTTTTAGTACAGTGGTTCGAGCTCGATTCGCTGCAACCTCCGCCTCCCAGGTTCAAGCAATTCTCCTGCCTCAGCCTCCCGAGTAGCTGGGACTACAGGCACATGCCACCATGCCCAGCTAGTTTTTGTATTTTTTGGTAGAGACAGGGTTTCACCATGTTGGCCAGAATGGTCTCGATCTCTGGACCTCATGATCCACCCTCCTTGGCCTCCCAAAGTGCTGGGATTACAGACATGAGCCACCGTACACAGCCAATAGTGGTTTTTAGGTTCGGATATCTAATTGGAAGTATGTGAAACTTTTAAAATGCATGGACTCAAATCGGCTTACTGGACATTGACACGTCTTCATGCACTAATTTCAGCTGTTTAAGTGGGTTGTTTGGGAATTTGATAATTTTGAAAATAAATAATCTTACATAATTATTAAAGGAATTTCCAAAGCCACCCATACTGCTTTTACACTCTAAACTGCTGTGATTTTGGTTTTACTTCTTGTGCCAGGAACTCATCATATAAGGTTGAAATTTATTCTGGTCCAAGTACATATTTAAAAAGTATTATAGATAGCTCAGATTCAGCCATGTTACCAGTAAGTAAATCATATCACAAACGACATACATGTTGAAGGGAGATGTCTTTTTCGATGTTCTGTTTAATTTTAAACCTGGGGCACTATTTGACTTACCTGGTAATTCATTCTGCCAGTGTAGTCCCTGATGCCCTTTCATATTCTATCCTCTGTTTTGTTTTTTTTTTTTACTTCCATATCTTCCCTCCTACCTCTCTTTTTGTGGACAGTTACCTTTTCTTCTGTCTGTAGCCTCTTTCTACTTTGACACTTAGCTTGATACTAAACCATAATCCTGAGCCAAGTTTGTCCGATACAGAGAAACACAGCCTTTTGCAAAAGCCTTCAGCAACTTTGTACTGAAAAAGTGATAAAGGCCACACTCCTTCAGATGGCACTCACTTCCAATTTCCCATCCAGCCTCCTCTTCCACAGCATCCCTTTTTACCCGGTTTCCTCTGGCCATGCCAGATAAGCTGCTGTTTTCACCTTGCCTTGTGTAGTCAGTATTCCTGAACTCTGCTCAGTTTCTTAGCTGTGAAAGCAGAACATGTATTTTGCTTTGTATTTTTGTTCATTCTTTCTGTATCTGAGTACCTTATAATATTATAAACTGCCAGGGGCGAGGTTCATGTTTTATTCTTTTATCTCTCCTAGTTTATGGCATGGTGGCTTATACATAATTATTGCTGAATAGATATTTGTGAGTTGAAGATTTTGTGTCCTCCCAAACTAACTACAGTTTCTTAATGCACATAGTATTCACTCAGTGCTTTCTCAAAGCCTTTTCTTGTAACCACACGTTATAAACTAGCAACATCGATAAAACAGCGAAGAGGCAAGTTTAATTATGGGCACTATCTTTTATTCTCTCTTGGAGTTGATGGCTTAGAGCAGTGGTTTTGCAGACTTTGACCTCGATTCCCATCATCTAGAAAGTTTGTTAAAATTCTAGGTCCTGGAACCGGAGTTTCTGATTTATTAGGTCTGGGGTGAGGCCTAAGAATGTACATGTCTGAGAGGTTGCCAGGTAATGAGAATGCTTATGCATCAGAACCTCATTTAGGGAACCTCTATGGAGGGTGACCAGAAGTCTCTGACTACTGTATTCTAAAGTTGCTGAGTTCAAGAACACTTAATCTATGAATAATCTCAAGATGAGAGTTAAAAGTGGCTTTTAGTTGTGTGTATTTCATATACCTTTTTATCTTTAGATTTTGTTTTTCCACCTAATAAGGTGCGTACACATCTCCTCTCCATTGATCTGTATTTAATTGGAAGGGAAAATGCTTTCACCTGTTGGATGTGCACACTAACTCTTATTTTCCCACCCTTGTTTGCCCAAAGGAATTTCTGTTGAGGACATATCATGGTGCATCCTAGATGGTAGCTCAGTTAATCCTCAGGCAAATCCTATGATTTGTCTCTGTTTTTCCAATGACGGGAGGTTAGTTCACTGGTCCAAGGTTATACACATAGGAAAGATAGGCCAACCAGGATTCAAACCTGGGGAGTCTGGCTCAGGAGCCCATATACCTCACCACTGTCCTTTGGTATCTCTCTAGGTAACATAAGATGCTGCTGTCTTTGTCTCAACCTGTGGCTTGATGCCTTTTCCACAAATCCTTTTGACATCTCCAGCTAATCCCTGGTTTAAGGCTGCCCTCCGGCATTACAGATTTTTTATGCTTGAATGCAAAAACCCAAGTAACCATCACTCTTTTAGGAACTGTGTCTTAATCAGATTTATTTTGGTCTGTGAGTGCAGCTGCACATTACAGTTACACAGTATTTTTATCACTTGCTTTATGAAAAATGACAGCGCACCACAAATGGCCCAGTTTAGAAGAGAATAGTGGGGCCTCTTATCAGATGATCTTGCTTTTTTGAATTTAGAGCTTTACATGCATCATCATATTTGGTTTTAAAAACCAAAACAACAACAAAAACTGCTAAACATTATCCTGATTTCACAGGTAAAGAACTGAGTCTCAGGAAGGTTGAAGAACTCTACTGCAAGGCCAAATCCTAAGAATGAGATCCAGGTTTAAATCCAGAGTTTGAATTCCCAGTTCAGTGTTGATTTTACTATATGTTAGATACTTGTATTAAGATGGAATCTATACCTTCTATGAGCTTTAGGAGAGATTTTACAAATATTGGATAAAGTTTTCAGATTAGAGTTTTGAGTCTTCACTTAGTCAGTGAGTTTTTTATTGTGCTCTTTCTTTGAGCTGGGCCCTCTTGTAGATGCTTGGAATATATCACAGAACAAATATAAACTTCCTGTAGTTCGAAAATACTATTAATTTATAAAGTAAATAAATTTCTGAAGCTTCCACATTTACTGTGATAGGTAATTTTAAGTGTCTGCTTGGCTGGGATCCGGTGCCCGGCTGTTTGAGAGGGTGACAATAAACAGTAAACAGAAATGAGTAAATTGTACATTAGATGCTGATAAGTGCCATGGAAAACAAAATCAGTAGAGGAAGGTTGGGGAGAAAGGATTCCAGGCAAGAGCAATGCAGTTGAACTTTTATGTTGGATAATTAGGTAGAACTGACACTTAAGCAAGAATAAAGGACACGAGTGAGTTAGCTGTGACCCTGGGCATGAAAAGACGGTCCAGGCCCAGAGAGCAGTGAGCACAACAGGTCACCCGTGGCAGTGTGCTGAATGTGCTTTGGGAACAACACAGGATAGTGTGGCTGGAAGAGAATAGTGGGAGGATACTTAGGAGAACGAATGCTCAGCCAGGGCCTTTTCCAGGGCCTTGTTTATCATGGACCGTTTTGAGCCAAGAAGGGATGTGATCTGACGTAGACTTGGATCAGTCTGATGAATCTGTGGAGAACAGACTGCAGGAGAGCAGTGGTGGACACAGGGAGACCAGTTAAGAGATGATGTTGTCAATCCAAGTGACCCATGTTGGCAGCTGGGACTAGGAGGAGAGAGCAATGGAGTCGGCAAGAAGAGATTAAATGCTATACATATCCAGAAGGTAGACTCAGTGAAGGTACCTGGTGGATTAGGTGTATAATGGTAGAGAAAAGGCTGAGTTAAGAAGGACTGCCAAGATGTTGAGCCTCAGAAACTCTGAGGGATGCAACTGGCACCAAATGAGAAGGAGAGGGTGAGTGGGGCAGGTCTGAGAGTTGGATCAACTTAAGAGATAAGTTTCGAGTTCACCAAGGCCTGTGGGGCACCCAGCTGTCAGTGCTGAGTAGGCAGGTGGATCCAGGAGTCAGGGTCTGGGTCAGGGCAGTGACTTGAGATACAGCAACGTATGTGTGACATTTAAAGTCATCAGACTGGATGAGATCCCCAAGAAAGTGAATGTAAATAAAGAAAAGGAGGTAAGGCCGGGCGCGGTGGCTCAAGCCTGTAATCCCAGCACTTTGGGAGGCCGAGGCGGGTGGATCACGAGGTCAAGAGATCGAGACCATCCTGGTCAACATGGTGAAACCCCGTCTCTACTAAAAATACAAAACATTAGCTGGGCATGGTGGCGCATGCCTGTAATCTCAGCTACTCAGGAGGTTGAGGCAGGAGAATTGCCTGAACCCAGGAGGCGGAGGTTACGGTGAGCCGAGATCGTGCCATTGCACTCCAGCCTGGGTAGCAAGAGTGAAACTCCATCTCAAAAAATAAATAAATAAATAAAATAAAATAAAAAAAGAGGAGGTAAGACCACTGAACCCTGGTATGAGCGTGATTGGGATGTTGTGGAGAAAAAGAACAACAGAAGAATGAGGTGCGGTCAGTGAAGTAAGAAGAAAACCTGCAGTGAATGCTGCTCAGGATGTTGAACACGAACACCCAGGAAGAGCTTGGCTGTGCCGACACCTGTCACATGCTGCAGGTTGCTAAAGGAAGGAAGGCCCAAAAACTGTCCACAGCTTTAGAAAGAGGATGGTCCTTGGGGAGCCAGACCAAAGCAGTTTTGGTGGAGTGATGACAGAAAAAGAGCGACTTTTCCCTAGCATGAGAGACCTGGTGAGAGGTTGGGCGATCTCCAGCTAAGTAGAATCTTCCCAGAAATTCCTGTGTTTTCCACTTTTGACAGGTTTTGATTAATCTTCTGAGATTTGAATGTGATTCTTTTATTTGGAAGAAGTTTAAGAGAAAGGAGAGAGGAAAACATTAAAAGAGAGACACAGAGAAACAGGTAAGAAAAATACAGTCAAAGAAGAGAGAAAGAGTGATTCTCAGAGAGATCACGTGGGTCTTTGAGCTGGTAAAGTGCACACATTAAAGGCAAACCCATTATCAAGTTGGTTCTCCATTGTTCATTCCCAGCTGCCTTTTTTCTTTTTGCTGGATAATTAATTGGGCCTTCTATGAACAAGTAATTCAAATACATATATTCTGTTGCTCTATTACATTTCTTATTTGCTCGCTTCTGTTTCTGAAGGGTCAGTCAGTATAATTCCAGGAGCTAGGAAACTGTTTCCCACTGCATGTAAACAGGAAGTTTGAGGTTTTCAATGTAAGTATGCACAATCTTTTCGTGAGATGAATATTTCTGAACTGGATACTGTTTGTATCACCCTGACTGGTACCTATTTCTTTGACCAGCGATATTGTCACAGTTGGGATTTCCTTTGCATCACGCTGTGCACGTAGAAGTGCCCCACATGTAATGTTTACTCAAGTTTTCTCACCATGTCTTCCTCCATTCTTTCTTGATTCTTGTCATTTGTTTCTTACTGCCATTAGACCATCTCTTAGGATCAAGGCAGAAATATAGTGACTTAGCATTGTGCTGACCAAGTTTCATCTATAATTATTTAAACAAGGATTGTGGATTTTTTTTTCTAATTTTAGGAATGTATTTTAAAAATGTCGTTCAGACTTTGGATAATCACCTTTGGTTATAATGATTGGATTTATGTGAGCATTTTGAGGTCAGTCTATAGGTGACATTCCTGTGATATTCTTGGGGCTGAGTGTGATACCATGGCCTACAGTGGGCACTAGAAATGGAAAGTGAACAAATGAAAACTGAAGAGTCTGAAAGGTAGGAACAAGCGGGAAGAAACAGTGCTGTTGGGTCTGGTTAAAGAGGTGGCATGGTTCAGAGACATAAGTTAATTGTAAATGTGTAACAAGAAAACAGGAGCTGGAAGGGGAAGGTAAGCTTGTAGCTGTCTTGAGATAGGAGGAGAAAATGTAACATGACTGAATGACTGGAAGTTATACTCAAAAATGTTCATTTGCATTTTCTAGAAAGCATGGACTACATTTATCTGTCCTCTGCCCCTAACTGCTGATTGAAATACAAATAGCTGGTTCTGGTCAGGTTTTTGAATATCGAAGCTTAGAATTTTGGATTTACTTTTACCATCAGCACCTTAGGAAACATACTGTGTTTACCAGAGTCACAAATGGAATTGGCCATTGCCAATGGAGAGCCTTGGCAGCAGCACACAGACCAAGCAAACTCTCCAAAACACAAACATGACTGCCTGTGACTCAGCCCTGCAGTCAGAGAATCCAGCACTTCTGTGAAGAAGTCCTGGTTAGGCTTGGTTTAATGACTTTAAAAGTAGGATTTCCAAACAGGCCCTGTGTTAATGAACAAAGCTGCATAAAGCCAGCTGCTCCTGTGGACTGAACATGGGTGAGACCATTTCCCACCAGGCCACAGAGTAAAGTCAGCAAATTCCTCTAGGAATAAGTAGGGCTGAGGAAATAGACTATGTAGCATTTCTTTCAATCATGCAGAGTAAAGGCCTTTCTTCTCTTGAAAGGCAGAGTTTCAGCCAAGATCAATTTGGTGGCATTTAAATGTTATTCTAATAAGAGAAATTCATTCTAGGGAAACAGAACACACGTACACATACACGTATTAGGGAGACAATATGAATATTATTATTATTTTGAGACTGATTTTCATTCTGTTGCCTAGGCTGGAGTGCAGTGGCACAATCTCAGCTTACTGCAACCTCTGCCTCCCAGGTTCAAGCAGTTCTCCTGCCTCAGCCTCCCGAGTGGCTGGGATTGCAGGTGCATACCACCATGCCTGGCTAATGTTTTGTGTTTTTAGTGGAGATGGGTTTCACCATGTTAGGATGGTCTCGATCTCCTGACCTCGTGATCCGCCTGCCTCAGCCTTCCAAAGTGCTGGCATTGCAAGTGTGAGCCACCGCACCTGGCCCTAATATGAATATTATTTTAAGGAATTGGCTCATAAAAATATGAGAGAGACTGGAAAGTTCGTAATCTGTGGGACAAGCTGGCAGGCTGGAAATTCAGGTAGGGGGTGATGCTGCCACAATGCTGCAGAATGAAGTCTGAAATCTGCGGGACAGGCCAGTAGGCTGGGAACTCAAACAGGGCATTTATATTGTAGTTTTGAGGAGAATTATGATTGGAGGGGACCTCTGTATTTTCTCTTAAGTTCTTCAGCTGATTGGATGAAGCCTGCAACATTATGGCTGGTGATCTGCTTTACTTAAAGTGAGCTGATTGTAAATATTAATCAAATTCACAAACATCTTCACAGTAATCTCTAAACTAGTGCTTGACCAAACAGCTGGGCACCATACCCTAGCCAACTAGACACAGAAAGTTACCTATCACAGTAAATGTGGAAGCTTCAGATATTTATTTACTTTCTAAATTAATAGTATGTTCGAACTAAGGGAAAGTTTATATTGGGTAGTGCAAAATGTACTTCAAATAGAAACTTTTGTTTTCCGTTAATGAGATGCAAATATGTGTGAATGAATACTGTGATTTTGGATCAGCATTCTGGATGTTATTTTTGTTTGGCTCAGTAGCAGAATGGATTAGAAAATAAATGAAGAAAAGAACTCCCATTATTTTTTTAAGTTTTTTTTTTATTAATCATACTTGCCTTTTTTCTCATTCCCCAAAACAATGTCTCCTGCCAATTTAATAATTTATTAAAAATGTGTAGTAGAAATAATACTAGTATTCATACAGGAAATAAAGCTATATACTTGGTTTCAATAATGCAGATAAGTCCATACTTTCTATATCAATGAAAAATTGATCATTAGTAGCTACTTTATTACCTAGTACCTTGGAATTTCATATCTAGGGAATATATTTCTCTTTACAAAACAAAATATGTTCATCATTTTTAAATTATCACAACATTTTAGCCTCCTTTTTTTCACTTATGTTTCTCATTTCCATGGAGATTTGGTGGAGTGGAGTGAAACGTCTTTCCGTGATGGTGTTCTTTGCCTTTGGACTTAGCATATACATGAGAGCTCTGTATTAGCACCTCAGCTCATCTTCGACCTATATTCCTTCCCCTCAGCTGCTAGGTGTATTTCTTCTTTTAGAGTAATTTTATTGATTATTATTATTTTATTTTTTTAATTATACTTTACATTTTGGGATACATGTGCACAACATGCAGGTTTGTTACATAAGTACACATGTGCCACAGTGGTTTGCGGCACCCATCAATGGAGTGCTGGATGTATTTTAAACCTCATATCTTATCGCCAGATTGCTGAAAAAAGGGATCTGAGCCTTGGACTAGATTTGGTTTTCAACCCTGCAAGGTTCGTGGTTTTCCTACTCAGCCATTCTGGGTTCCTGGCCATTCATGGAATGTGCCACTGTGTTCATACGTTTATTTTCTTTTCTCTGTTTCTTAATCTGCCAGTCTGGGTGTAAGACTGCCTGTTCTTTGGAGAAATTTACACAAGGCCATGAAAATCATCTGGCATACTTCACCAAGTCCTCAAACCCTCCAGCCTGTGGTCTGAGATACATAGGAGTTTAACAGCCGCTTTACTAACAGATAGTGAATACCTACCTTTCTGGTCAAGGGCAGTGTGCTTACCAGCTAAACCCTACCCCCAGACAAACCAGTTCTTTATTCTGGGCATATCAGTGGTAGCCAATGGCAGTTTTCTGATTAGTTGGGACTCCCTTTGCAAATTGTAGAGGATGAACTTAACCTGGAGTCATAGGAAATATGAAATTTATAGACTCTCATTAAAAATGCTGGAGGTCTGCTCATTCCCCTTGTTCAGTGGTCATGCTCATTTTTTCTCTTTCTGTCAGATATGGTTTGCCTGTGTCCCCACCCAAATCTCATCCCACCAGGTCCCTCCCACAACATATGAGAATTATATAGCTCCTATAATTATGTAGCTCCCATAATTCTCGTATGTTGTGGGAGGGACCTGGTAAGAGATAATTGAATCATAGGGGCAGTTCCCCCATACTGTTCTCACTCATGGTAGTGAAGAAGTCCCACAAGATCTGATGGTTTTATAAAGGGAAACCCCTTTTGCTTGGTTCTTTCTCTCTTTTGCCTGCTATGATATAAGATGTGCCTTTTGCCGTCTGCCATGATTGTGAGGCCTCCCTACCTATGTGGAACTGTGAGTCCATTAAACCTCTTTTTCTTTATAAATTGCCCAGTCTTTGGTATGTCTTTATTAGCAGCATGATAATTGACCCATACTGTCTATTAGTTCTGCTTTCTTCTTTGCTAATTTCATCTTCAGCAGGCTCTTTACAAATAGTGTAATATGTCAATGGGAGCTCCAAGTTTATATGCTAAAAGTTGAGCAACCACAGTAAGAGTGTACTTTTTCCTGACGTTTCCAAAAGACTGTTAAGGGATCACTCTGCCTTACCTAGTCTGGATCTCATGGGAATCATCCTGGACAAGAGAATGAAATATTCTGACCTAGCAGGTTTGGGTCAGGATTTGACTCACTTGATACA